CTCCATGCTAGGCATAATTAGGGGAAGAACTGAAAACAAAACTGCTGATATTGTACTTCACTTGGAATATTGCATTCAGTTGTGGTCACCATGCCTAAGAGAAAAGGTGAAGAAAGGGGAATGGATCAGCTCCCCTATAAGGAAAGGTTGCAACATCTGGGATTCCTTAACTTGGGGGGTGGGGGAAGGCAAGTAAGGGAAGACATGAGAGACATCAACAAAATCATGCATGGTGTGGATGAAGTGGAGAGGGAGATATTTTTCTAGGTTTCTCATAATACTAGGATTTGGGGTTATCCCGTGATACTTATTGGTGAGATATTCAGGACAGATTAAAAAGAAAACTTTTCACACTGCACGGAGTTAAATTAAGAAATTCACTTCCATTAGCTCTAGCAATGACCATCAATTTTGTTGGCTTTACAAGGGGGTTGGACAAAAGCATGGGATGGTAAAGCTACCAAGGAGACTTAGTCCTGAAGTCTCTATGCTGCCTCCAGTAACAGAGGCAGCATCCCTGTATGCACCAGTTGCTGGGGAAATTGGGCAGGAAGGACGTGCACTCACGTCTTCTTACAGGCCTCACGGGCAGCTGGTTGGTCACTGTGTGCATGGAATGAACAGAAACAGAATGCAGGATAAAATGCATTCTGGGTCTGATCCAGCAGGTCTCATCTAATGTTCTAACAGGCAGGTGCCCCTTTCCTGGTGCCTTAAAGCTCCAGTCTGGATCTAGAAGAAGAAAGTATATTTGGAAAGCTTAAGATCCCATCTGCACCACAATAGCCATTATTTTCCCCAAGGAATGTAGCTCTGGGAGCAGGGGCAGGAGGAAAGAAGTGATAGAAACTTGCCAGCTTACTCATCAAGCTATCTACAATTCCTTGGATTCATTGGGAGGTGGAGCGAGGAGAGGCCAAGACTGTGAAGCTGATATAAAATGGTCTTGAAATGTTAGACTAGATATGTGTAAAGTTTTAACCCAATAGATTTAAACCAGGTTTAATACAGTTGCATACCATGGCTTCCTTCAACTGCTTTCCTCAGGAGAACAGTTTTTGACAATGCTGATAACTGTTTGAAATCTTAGCTACCTCATGGAACAGTTTGTGAGGTTATTTGACTGGGAACAATTCCAGGTTGAAGGTGCTTTAAAGCTGGGGAAACAACACTACCAGCTTATTTTCTGAGAGCATGGTATTCTCATTCTCAGAATGAAAGTAAACTGAGATGAACATGGATGTCTGCTGAGTGAGGCAGCTCTGATCAGATGGCTCTAAGAATTGGAAATACAGTTCTGAAACAGACCTTCGCGGAGAGCCAAGCTCTATTACTCCATTGTGTAAAATATTTCTCTTATGAAACTAGCAAAGCTGATAGATTTCATTGTACCTTTTAAGAAGTTAAATGCTAGTTAAAACCTGCAAACATGTCCACATGCCTTCCTCTAAGGAGTGAGGTTCTTAACGTGAGGCGCCTGCTGGATTAAGGAAGATCTTTCATGCAGATACACTGGGGAGCCAGCTGGAACTTTAGCCTAAATGCAAGTATACTTATTTTCATCTAGCAGTATGCAAGCTATTCTTTATGATGGAAAGGAGAAAGGCCACCCAAAAAGGGGGGTATATCAAGGAGCTTGCAGAAAGCCATGCATGGTTAGCCTGTCAGAGATGGTTTATGATTTTTGCCACGTGCCTACTGGACAAACGCGTCCGAAGAAGCCTTCACCCAACTTGATGCCCTCCAAGTGTTTTGGAACACAACCCTCATCATCTCCGGTTAATGTTAGATGCAGACAATGGAAGTTCCAGTCCAATACATCTGATGGGGCATAAGCTGGGGGAAGGCTGATCCAAGACCAGTTTTATAAAACAAATGCCATGTATGTCAGACTTATGTGGGAGAGAAAGCAGTTATCCTGCTAACCTGGATCTGAAAGCATTGGCTTGTACCAAGTCTTGTTCTTAGCCGCTGTCCCCCCAGTTGTGTTGTGTTCAGGCAGAGATGCCTGGATAAAACATACAGTATATGACACAGGAATGGAGAGCATGTTGCTTTGTAGATGCTGTTGCCTGTGGTTGCCAGCATCCCTCAACACTGGCTATGCTGACTGAAGCTGATGAGAGCTGCGGTCCCACCAGCAGTGGGAGGTCCATGCATTCCCATATAACCCATCAAGTGTTTTATTGTTTGCTGGCTTGTTTACAAGCTTTCTATACCACCTCATGTTCCTCTATGATTTCAGACCAGTGAAGAATAAAGGATAAAACAAAAATATAAAACAGTGTGTTAAAAACAAGATCAATAAAAACATCAAGTAAAAACATCAATAAAAACATCAGCACCTATGAGTGTCTAAAATGTAGCCATTGCTCTTTCCCCTTTACAATACAGATAAGGAATAGGAAGTAATCAGTTCCAGTAAAGAGCAAACTAACAACCAGAATTAAAACCTGAGAAATTCTTATCTTTGTTCCATGTGTGGAGAGGCCAGGCAACAGCGGAGTCCTGTGGCTGTATTCCCACCAAGATGCAGGAGGAACGCATTGCATAGCATTCTGAATAACTCCTGGGAAGAGGATGCAGCTCAGTGGTGGAGCACCTGCTGTGTTTGCAGAAGGTCCCCGGTTCAATCCCCAGTGCCTCCATGTAGGGTTAGGGAAGGATGCTGCCGGACACCCTGAGGAGCTGGTGCCAATGACTGGCAATATTGGCCAATCGAACCAATGGCCTGACTTGGTATAAAGCAGAGTCCTATTGTTGTGAACTCCTAAAGGGTATCTGATCCTAATATAGGAACACAGGCAAAAATTAATGCAAGACTGGCTGCATTTTATGAATGAAAGTTTCAATTATGCTTCTGATTTCTTTGTGTATGTCTTCTCTCATTCTTTTCTGCATAAAGAGATTAGTAAAATGGACAGCAGGTTAAGACTGACTGTGGGTTGTAGGAATTAAAGTGTGTGTCTGTGTGTGTGTGTGTGTGTGTGTTCCCATTCATAGAAACACACATACACACCCACAAACATACACATGCATGTGAAAATCTTACTGTTTCAATTTCTATCATAGGTGATGAGAATATTTAATTTCTTTTGTCTCTGGAGTTTTCATTATCATTTAAATTTCATTTTACATTAATTGATCGGGGATTAGCGAAGCCATTATTCAGAAATCAGACTAAGACGAGCCAGATGCAATGAATAATTCATGACACCCAATTATATGTTACAATTCTGGTGTACTTTTAAAACTTTCCTTTAACTTCCAGTCTGTTGCAAAACGAAATGATGCGTAGGCACTTCAAAGTCAAGCACCGGCACCACGCTCCTCGCAGCAGCTGTGCGCCCTGAACCTTGCTCCCTCCTTTCGGAAAGGAGAGCCTTACAGACCAGGGTGGGGGATGGAACAGAGGGAGGAAGGAACTGCTGTTTAGAATATCTACTGTAGATCATCTTGGCCTTAGGAAAAAGGGAAGGGAAATGCTGTCAAGAGGAAAAGAAACACATGGAAAGTTCTGTTAGGGAATGCAGTTTAACATGGAAATCTATGACTGACTAAAGCAGGAGGTGTGGAATGGGTGGTCCTCCAGATGTTCCTGGGCAGCAATAACTCTCAGCCGTGCTCACTAGCATAACCAATGGTGGAGGATAATGGGAGGTGCAGTGCAGCAATGTCTGGAAGGCTGCATGTTCTCCTTTGGTGGACTAAAACTGTTAAGTGAATTGTGTGTATATGGATAGATACATGCGTTTTCCACTGTGTCAGTACTTTTCTGTCCTGATATATGTATCAGAAAATGGAGAAGCAACTGACTTAGTAAGAGCTCAGTCCTAGGAATATTTAGATAGAAAAAGAATGGCTGGTTTGGGAATGCTGGAAGCAGTAGGGCTTTTTCTGTCTGAATTTGTCGAGGATTGCACCCAAAGGTATGTTTCCAGAACGAATATTCTGATGCACCTATTGGGCAGACAGTTTTTTTCCACACACACTTCCCAGTGCAAATATCTGAGCAGCCCCAGGGACGGATAAACATATAACAGGGGCACTGGCACAAAGGCTGCTCGTGGGTTGCATTTTGATGATGGGGGAATAGAGTCTTGTTGCAACACCAGTCGAGTTTTCTGGTTAACAGAAGGCAAAGGCCAGTGATGTGGCCATGAATGTGCCATTCTGATGTTGCACGTTGCTTGCACACTGGCTGTGCCAGTGGAACTCGCCGTGGATGTGCAGAATCAACACTGAGCGTGCAAAAGGGTATCTGAACTCTGGGGCTTCAGGATGCCCCGAACAGGCCACAAATACCCAGGGCACGTTTGCGGTTCCCGGAGAAGCGGAAACAGTGGCTCTGTCACTGCAGTTCTGATATACTTGCCCCTCGGTGCAGACGCAGGGGTCTGTCGGACTGCCACTCGCGGTGCCGCTCTCTGCTTTAACCCGCCCGCTTCCCGGGCTCGGCACTCGGGGCCATTTCTGCTCCGGCCCGCATATTCGAGCCGCGGCGCGCCCGGCTGCATCGTCACCGCGGCCGCTAGGTGGCAGTCTTCGTCTTCCCTTTAGGCTGTCTCGCCTTTCTCTCCGCTCCGCTCCGCTCCCTGGGAATCTTCTGATCCATATCAGGGCAGCCCGCAAAGCCGAGGTTTTCGCGTGAGCAACAGGCGGCATCCCCTCCCCCCATCGCTGCCTCTCCCTTTACCTGCGCGGGACGCCTTGTGCAATCCGCCTATCCCCAGCACAGTCCAAATCCTGCCCCCCCCCCGCAGCCCCCCCGTGCTTTTCGTACCCCCCCCCACACAGTCGCCCCCCCCCCCCATGAGAGCACCGAAGCAACAGCCCCACCTTCGCCGTCCCAGGACCTTTCATCTGGGGGAAGTTTTATGACACTTGGTTGAATGTGCAAAGTTTTTAATTAGACTCGCCAGACAGCCCGAGGCAGCAGTAGCGCCACGAAGTCTTCATACTTCCCCTCTGCCTTTTTTCCTCCTTTTTTTTCTCTTCAGCACAACAAGCCGCTCTACTCCTTTGAAGACAATGCAGACTATGTCTACGACGTCATGTGGTCCCCAGTGCATCCCGCGCTCTTTGCCTGTGTGGACGGGATGGGCCGCTTGGATCTCTGGAACCTGAATAATGACACTGAGGTGAGGTGGGGCAGGATCGGGGCCCGGGATGGGCACTGGCCGGGGGTTTTTCTGTGTGGTTTGTGTGTTTATAAAGGAAAGCCTGCTTTGACGAGTGGAAGGGAGGAGAGGCAGGCGACGTTCGGCCAGCCGGCCCTGTGGCATCCCAGCATCTCTCCTCTGCGGCTTGTGAAGCTCACTGGGAATGGGCCTCCGCTCTGGCTCGCCTGTTCCCAAAGCTCCCTCGTCACCAGCCGTGCCCCAGCCCCGCTCCCTCCTTATCTGTTTCCAGGGACAAAGACCCAGCATCGCTTCCCCTCCCACTTCCTGGCAGGATCATTCATTGGTCTCTTGATCCTTCGTGTATAATTTAAGCACCACTTCATTCTTCACTCAAGACTCTCTTTCAGTGGCAAACCTCGGAGAAGATGAATCAGCCAGAGGGAGATCAGAAAAGAGAAACCTCACCGGCTGCACAAATTTGAAAAAACACTTGCTTATTCGTGTAAAACTACTGCTATTGTTGCTCGATTACTATTATCTTCACTAATCACCGGTGCAACATCATGGTCCTGTTAGGCCTTGTGCAGTTCATGAAGGTGCCCGAGTCCTTGTTCAGAGGTTCCCAATAAAATGGTTAGCACTCGCCTTTCATCTACCTCCTCCAGATTATATCCGTGGTACCTGTAAAGTCCTTTTTCTTTTGACCATTCACTGTTGACACTGTTGATTCACATTTTCAACGAGCGACTACGTTGTTTTCTACTTCACCTTTTTGCTTCTGCACATGAGTATCTCCTCTCCACCACCACTTGCTAGGATGTTGGCGCAAGTTCCACTCTTTTGCTTTGTTGCCAAGAAGTACCAAAAGGGAAACGCCAGCCACAAATGCTTCCTCTCTTTGCTGCTTCACTGGATGTGTGAGGCCTCTCTTCCCTTTGTCTCATGGCATTAAGGCAGCCTTTCCTAAACTGATGCCCTCCGGATGTCTTCCTAGGTATGGGAATTGCAGGCTAACTCAACTTGAAAAGGCTAGAGAGGTTTGAGGAAGGCTGTGTGAGACATTCCCCTTTTGAAAACAGTTAGTGGCTGTCCCAGAAGCCTTCACCGCGTAACAAAAAGGAAGGAAGGGAAATGTGTCCTCAAGTTCTTCTCATGTAGAGAAAACTAACTAAGATGACACCCTCTACACACTGTACACACTCACGTAGCACTTATTTCTGGATAGACGTGCATAGGGTTGCACTGTAAGCTTTATTTACCTGGGTGGAAGCCCAACAGAACCGTGTGGAACACAAGTCTGAGCAAATAAACATACACTTGAACTGCAACCCAGTATGCCCTTCCTTGGGGGCAAACCCCTCTGAACTCCGCGGTGTAACATGTGAATAAACCTGCATGGATTGGGCCTTAAGGTGGCCAAATCTGCGAATCCTCACTTGAGCTTAAATCCCATTACATTTAAGGTGGACTTCTGAGTGAGCATCACAAGACTAGATTCCTAAGAATATCTGCAACCTGTTCCTGAGAATTATTGTCTCTGAAGTGATCCTCATGGGTTCAAAGGTCTAAATACACATAGTTAAATATACATAGTTTTGCAGCCTTGTTTGGAAGGCTTCTGCAATGAAATCGAGCTCTTGGGCTGAATGTACATTTAATCCCAAACTTACTCTGAAAAGAGCCATTGAACTCAATGGGGCAAACAAGTCAGAGCAGCTTAATCCTATTGATTACAGTCAGTTTGTGGTATAGTCTTAGTATGACAAGCTCAAACTGAACCTAGTGTTAGGGGTGTAAGCCATTTCCCCAGTTTGTTTCCCATGCAACATTCATATGGTGGGGCAGTAAGTACTGCTGGATAAGCCTTCTTTGGCTAGTTAATGCTGCAAACTGGAAAGACCTGGGCTCTCATCCCCATTCAATCTCGAAACTCAGTAGTGACCTTGGTTCACTCATGCTCAATCTAATGGGGAATTGGGAAACAGGAGAGTCAAATGGAGGAAGAACCATAGAGACAATCCTGAGCAACTTGGAAGAAGTGGCAGGATAATTATGAAACATCCTTAAAGCAGAAATTCCTACCAAGGAAGTATAAATTCTATGGTGATCATTATATCCATTTCAATAGCAGTGAGTGTATCAAATGCATTTGCAGAACAGGAATTAAGAGAGCCCAATTTGATTAAAAGAAGCAAAAGAAGGAATTGAAAAAAAAGACTATATCAAACTTTATTTGGTATTGTAACATGGCTTTTAAAGCCACGTTTTTACAGCATTGTAACACGGATTTTAAAAATCTTGTTCTCAATTGTAGGGTGTTTTTTTTTTTTTTTGGTGTAAGTGTCCTAATTTACATGGAGTTTTAAAAAGTATGTTTCTGATACTCAGATGGTGTGTAAACCCTTGCAAAGCAGAACAGATCTTCACATGCAGCAGAATGAGAAACTCATGAGTTGTAAGAAAGTAATCTGGAATGCCCATCTTCTGACAATTTTTCTTGGTTCTGTATCGGGCAGTCCCTCAAACAAGGAAAAAAAATCCCTGCATCTGCAATAATAGCATCCTGGAGCAAGTTCGATTATACACATTTCACCTGATTTCTTAGCTTTTTATTGGAAGGAACCTGTGATATGCAGGGGCATCCAAAGAGAGCACCTCTTGCCTATACTGACTAGAACTTAAGTGTTTTGCTAGCCTGTGTTCCTTCACATCCCTACGGATAGTCACTTACGCACTGAAAGGGGGTGGGGAAATCTTTTGTCAGCCTTCTTTAATTGGTTGCCTAGAGGCAATGGTTCTCACCCCAGGTGACTGTCATAGTACCATGCTTCTATGAAAATAGGTACATTGTTATTTTAGGGTAATATGCCCAGGGACACATGTCCAGATTACTTTTATTCGGAATTCTGAGTTTGAAGCAGACATTTTCTTTAGGATGTTGTAGGAATGTTGTAGGAAATACTCTTATACATTTATACATTATGCCAATCATAGTGTTGCAATCCATAATGCAGTATAATGGTTTATCTTCCCTTTCCCTTTTATATTTTAGCATCTGTTATTAGTACCAGTATTAGTATTATTTACATAGGTTTTTTTTTTAAATAACGATGTTCTGTTACAGTGCAGTGAGATTTTTTATTTTAAATGGAGAAGTGGGCTGCACATATGTTAAATACATAAATAAATAAAATCTGTGGCTGTGAGGTTCTTCGGTGCAAGACCTGTTCCTGCCCAGACCATCGCCTCCCCATCTGATACTACACACACAGACACTTCTTTTCTTTTCTTTTTTCTTTTCTTTTCTTTTTTTGCAAATCTCCTTAGATAACTAAAATTCTGGAATATAAGCACAAAGATTTCCATAGCAGTAGCAAGGAGAAATGTGAAAATAGGAACCATGCAGGAAAAGCACGGCTGTCCTCTTTAGTGTCAATGAATCAGCTAAATTGAAATTCTTATTTTTTATTTTTTTACAATCTTGATTCCTGTTATTTCAGTCCAAATCCAAAAGACCTGCAGTTTTGCCTTGATTCTAGTTGTAAAGTAATTCTGCATAATTTTGATTTTGCAGAAATCATCCCATGAATGTTTTCTTTCTTTTCCTGTAACAGCAATCTTGTGATTGAAAGTTCTAGATATCGCAAATGAAATTTGAACAGCTCTGAAAAAAAATTATACCACGTAAACTGTAAAAATACATTGTGTGTGCTCTCCAGCAAACACACAGTTTGAATGCTTTAAGAATGATAAGGCAGTAAGGTAATTCAGATGAAAGAAATGAGGCTTGGAAAATGGGTTTGGGAGCTTAAAATGCTTTGGGAATGAATAATCATGACAATAAATGTAAGTTTCTTAATTGCAGAAGAATAACTGTGTTAGTCTGCAAGAGGAGAAAATCCAGAAAGTGCATTGGCGCCATATAGGCTTGGGGCGTGAGCTTTTAAGGCGAGACAGAGCTTAATTCATCAGTTGTATGTAAAAGTCTTAGAAGGTGGTGGATTTATACGCACATGGATTGAGGTACAGTGGAGAATTTAGCAAGTTAACAAGGCAAAGGCAATAAGTACCAATATATTTACTTCCACTTTTTGATTTTTTGTGTTGGTGTGTTTAACACCTTCTTGCATATAATGCTGATATATGTTTCAGTCAAAAGAAAATGCACGTTTTTACTGCTGTTTGCCATAAATCACCTCCTGACAGGTAAGGAGGGACAAATACCGAAAACTGGATTGTCAAGTGGAGACTCAGGTCTTTTGAAGTGTTCTGAGCAGGAAGCTACAGAGCCAGCTTAATTATAAAGCAAGCAGCTGAAGGAAGAAGAATAGGGAGGGGATTTCTCTGCAGAGCTTTCTTTGGGGGAAGGAGAAAAGAGGGGCACATCCCCACAGGTGTTACCGTTAACAGCTCTTGCTCTCAGTCCTGCAACACTGCTAAAAGAAAATATCGTTCCCTCTACAATGAACTGAGTTTCTTTCGTTTTCTTTCAAGTGAGGCTGCAAATCTTCCCTGTGGTTATTGACATGGAAATTGCACTGTGATCAATGCAATTAAAGCATGGGGAACTGTGAACAGGATTATAGTCATAGAATTTACTCTCATTTGTTTAATTTGGACCATTAATCTATGTTAGACAGATAAACCTTCGTTTTCTTTCCCTAGGACATCAGCAGGAATAAATTCAATGCAAGCATTTTGCCAGGAAAAACTAATCAGAGACCCACAGTAGCAGCCAAGGAGAAAGCTCTATAACAACTGAAAGTGATTGGTCTTTTGATCCTTTGCCTGGTAGTTTAGAACTTTTTTAAAATAATGATTTTATTCCCTCAGAATTACTGGGCCACCATCCAGCCAAAGTTAAGCATGTTGAAACCCCCTTGATTTCAATAGGAGAGTTAAGCATCTACTTAAATTGTTCTGTTGAAATCAGAGGCTGGTGTTTTAGTTTGAATCGCATCCTAGATATAACAATACCATTTTCCACGTTTTTCTTAGCAGATAAAGATGATATCTGTGCTTTTTTATTATAGGGAAGGCTTTGTCACATGATAATGAATAATTAAATTAGGAACAAGGCTCTCCACGAATGAATAAATAAATAAATGCAACCTAACCCACAGTTAAACCAAAATACTAGATGGAATTGATTTAGATTGCCTTTCTAAATACATGTTTGTCTGAATTCTGTGGATCTTATACATGGCTGTGCACCTAATACAATAATCCTCACAAGACTGGTACCATAATTCTAAAAAGTCTCAGGGGATGTGGACTGAACTGGGCTTTGCACAATGAAAATGAAAAATACACAGCAATTTGCATGAGGCCAGAGTTTTCTATTTGTATCAATGAATGAGCAGATTATCCATTGCGACCTTATGAACACATTCTGTAGATGCATCAACGTAGCCCAATGGAGGTCGGTTGTCAGAGGGAGTTGCCTCTTGCTAAGTGAGTAAAGGCGAAATATATAGCCAAGCACAGGCTTTCCATGTGGATGGTTCAATACACAGCAACATATAAAGCTGGGAAGACTGCTATCTGAGGCATTAGGGAGCAGCTACTGTAGTGCAGACAATATGGGATATAGAATGGACTTTTGGTTCTGAGTCTTTATAAAAGCAGATAAATATGTGCATCATTCTACTCATTTATTATCAAGAGTTCTATCCCGATTTTTAAAAACATTAAGATTGTGTATTTAAACACCAACAGCAGCAAACCAATCAATAACATCAAGAAAATGGGCTGAAATGAAAAGTCTAAGGCATCAAGAACACAAGAAGATGTTAAGGGTAGAGCTCAGGCTAAGCTTGACAGGGAAACCAACCAACCAACCAACCATTTCACCATCTGTTTAAAAGAAGCTGGACTTCCTTTGAAGGGTTGTTCCATCTTGGGATGCCTTAGTCAAAATCTAATCTGTAACCAGTTACAGCATTGTAGGAATCCCAGTACTAAAATCAGTGGGACCTACATGTAGGAGCTAGGCATTAGTTAGTACTTTGGAAACTGTTGTTTTATGGACAGAAATATGAGAATAAATTTCAGCTGATGTGCATCTATTGAAAGGGTGTCTATCAAATTTAGCTCATTTTGGATCAAATTGATTGCAACCGATATCTGATGGAGCATAAATGCTTGATTTTGGGTAGCAAGATGGATCCTCAGAGCTAAGGAAAAAAAGTTGCTATAACATATTAGGCACATGGCTAGTGAGGCCTTCCTAGTGCATTTTCCCCTGTTGTCTAGCCCCACTAGAACAAATCACAAAAAGCCCTAGCATTAAGTTATATTCTTGGTGTTCTGCTTTGATCAAAGCATGCACGTATCTTTTAACTGCTGCTTATTATATATTCAAATTATGGCTGTTTAAGAAAGTGTTAGAAATAGTTAGCCATACTGGTTTAATAGTATTGTCTTCGCCCCCACCTTGAGGTTAATGCAATTTTCTGTATTCAAACATGCCTCACAAGCTTATTGCTGTTATGCAACACATAAATATTTATCCAGTGCAAAGAAATACCATTATTTCTGACCATTATTTCTATGGTGCCATTAATTGCAGCACCTTTTAAACCTGTCTGCTGTGTTCTGCAGTAAAATGTGCTAAAGAATTGCACCTGGTTATGCATGGCTTCCTGGGGGTTGGGTTCCAGAATGGGCCTCTTTAATGTGGGAGAAAGTGATCATGTTTGAATTATATCCTAAAATGGAGGTAACAATTTTGGAAAAAACATATATAATGCTTCTTTCCATATTTTAGTACTTATCACATAGATATTTCTGGCAGATATGCAAATCTAAGACTTGAAATAAATAAGCCAAAATGCTTGGTGACATGTTGAAAATATTTGGAAGCTACTTCTAGACTGCCAGGATTGAAGACCATATAAGAATGGTTTTATGAATGAAATAAGCACATTTTCACCTCTCATGAATTCTCCACACATGACAATGGACAGTGCAATTCTATGCATGTTTATTCAGTAGTAAGTTCTGTTCTGTCCAACATTCAACATGGACTATTCCCAAGGAACTGTATGGGCTTGAATTTATAATTACTGTTTGTCAGCACTTAGTTATTTTCCTGTATTTACAACATAACAAATACACATGCATAATGTTTTAATTAATCCACACTGTTGCTTGTAGAGCACTTCTAACCACATTACCCGCAAAACATTTTAAATCAATATTTGAAATATCTGGAATGCTCTTTACTAGGACAGACAAGTTTTGGGGCAGACCACAAAGATAAAATAATTCATCAGCAATACAAGGTACACAATAAGGTACTGGTCCATAAAACTGAGGGGTACAAAACAAATTAACTAGCAAAACAGCTTAAGCTGTAAACAAAATGTCCAAGCAAATAACACATTTTGATAACGTGCTGTGCTGGTGCCACTTGAATCTCTTTCTGCAAGCTGTTCAAAGAGCTCTGCCATTTCTTTATGTTCCATGATCCACTTCTCCTGCTGAAGGAACTCAGAGGATCTCAATACACAGGCAGCTAAGAGAATAGATGCATTGTTCGGCCCTACTGTAGTTAATGCCATGCACCCTAAGAATTTGAAAAATAGCTGAACAAAAAGAATAAAATACTTTGGATTGTTTCTGATTGAAGTATTTTTGCTAATACTCTTTTCATTGATACAATTACTTAGAAGAATGTTTCTATTGATTTCTCCCAGAACTTCTAAAGATGCAATCTCTCAGTGAGTGAGACTATTGGAAATAAAAGGGAGTTGCACAAAACTGCAGTTTATGAAAAAATTTCCGTCAGCAGTTCGTGCCCTTAGTCATTAAATTTAATCCTGGATTAATACAAACAGTGACTGAAGTTTACATCTACCTTCCTGCAGTGTCACTTTCTGCAACCTTGTGCCATCCCATCATCCCTGACCACTAACTACTTGAGATCTCAGTGCAACTACTGAAAAGTAGGTTGCTGAACAGGCTGCAGCCAATGTCATTTCCCCAAATGTATTTAGGAGGGTCTGTATATGTGTTGGATACAGGGTTTTTGTTGGATTTTTTTCTCATGAGCCAATGGGGCTTACAGCTCCCAATTAACCTAGAATGTAGATATGCAATATGAGAAAGCAGACACATATGCAAATAATCTGTAACTCCAGAACTGTTTGTTAGGCAACAGTATTTGTTATAGGTAGGAAACAGTGGCTGAGCATACCTTGGTCAAGGCCAACTAACCAGTGAATGGGTGAGTTAGGATGTGATTCATAAGTACAGTGTCTCTAGTCAGCACATCATCATCATCATCATCATCATCATCATCATTATTATTATTATTACATTTTTATACTGCCTATAGCCAAGGCTCTCTAGGCAGTTGACAGCAATGAGAGATGCTATGTCTGGGTTCACACAACACAGCATGCAACCCCTTGTGATTACCATGGCTTGTGGGTTTTTACCATGATCTGCCTGGCAAACAATCAGGTGGTTTCTGTGTTATTGTGGTTTCCGTGTTCCCTATTCAGTTCTCCCCCTGTTGGCACATATTTGCTGAGCAACTGTACCTGAAATTCCACCCCAATATGCTTCACTCCTCGCTTGTGTTGCCGGCTTCTTCCTCAGCGGCCCGCACATAGAGGCCGGATGATTATCATAGCTCATGGAGTCGTTGCTCTTTCGGGGGGACTCTGTGGTAGTTGCATAGCAGCACTGTGGAAACTACAGTTCTGGGTCTGGAGAACACAAAGCCATAGTTACCATGATGAAAAATACGACTGAGCTCAAATAATGCAACAGACCCAATAGTAAGCAATCACCATGGCTCGTCATGCTGTCTGAACCCAGTCTGTGTTGGTTTCATTCATTGCAAATATTCTGACATTTGCCTGTTGAACTCATGGCAGATGCCCTTGGGGCGCATGAGCAGTCTTCCATCCAGATCTGCTTAGCTTTGTGCATCAGGTATGGTGATGCATCATGTTCTTTCTGACTCAGTCCTAGAACAGCTTATGTATGTTTCCTATGCCGTTTCCCACCCAGGGAACGCTCTGGGCCATGTGCTCTCTCTGGGTAGAGATACGATGCAAAGGAAAGGAGTAACATTGAAATTAGTAATGCACTTTTTAGTCCATCCTTCTTTTGTTTCTGAGCCCATCTTGTCATCTTGAAACTAATTGCTCTAGGTCAGTTAATGTTTATATGAAACCCTATATATCTCCTCTCAGTTTTATTTTACTCTCTACACCACAAGTAAGCTAATTAATCCTTGCCTCTCAGCTGACTCATCACTTATCTTTTGATCTTGAATTAGAGTTCAAGAAAAATAAAGCTATAATGGTGAAAACAAAGATTTAAGTGCCTTGCTGCCCATATTTTGCCCCATTAAGTGTTCTTTTCTGTTCCTTTTTTATTTACCATGTGAGTGAACAACTATGAATCCTTTATTTTTTATTTTATTTTTCTTGTGAAATAGTTTGCTTGTATAGTTCAGTTTTGTCGTCCTCATGAGAATAATGTCTTTGATAGGTCCCAACAGCTAGTGTGACAATTGAAGGAACCTCTGCCCTCAATCGTGTCCGCTGGGGCCAAGCTGGGAAAGAAGTAGCAGTTGGGGATTCTGAAGGAAGGATCTGGATCTATGATGTTGGAGAGGTACTTGATTTTCCTTGCATTTACTCTGTATGCATGTGCTTTCTGCTACAAGCCTGTAAATAATATACATTTGAAATGAAGGCTAGAAGTATTGATCAGTTCAGTGGTGCAATCCTTTCATTTGAGGCACCCAGATACATAAACCACAAAATTCAGCTATGGATGTTGTGCTGAATTTGAGAGCTGCCCCTTCTAGGATGTTCAAAACTAGTGACAGTCTTGTCGCGGAGCTTCAATGGTTGATTGTAAACAGTAAATCCTTTCAATCAAGTAATACAGCCAATGGAAGTCTTTGCATGCATTTATTCTGATTTCTAAAGATGTGAAATATCTAACACTTATGAGTTGGATTCAGACTGAGGCATGGGGCACTGGGCTAGTGGAAGTGGGCTCCCACCTCTTTTTCCCAGCATTATCTTTGTTCTCCTGAAGATCCTACCTGGAGGGGAACTTGCTAGAGAGGGTGGTGGTGAGGAAATCCCCCAAATTGGCTGGAGCCAGCCACTTGTGAACAGAGCTTTTCCATCCAACAAAGACACATCCTGGATCTCATCCTGGATCCTCTCCTGTATATTTATTGGGAAAGACTTACATGGTGTTTTTGAATATCCCGAACAAATTTTCACTCTGACCCACTTTCCATATGTACATCCCCAGTTGGATGGGGAACTGCATATGCAGCAAAGAGAAACCTAAAAGATAAGCTGCAGTTGGATTGATTAGTTGGTTGCAAGAATCTGCTGCTTGGATTTAATTTTCTGTCCTCAACAAAGAGCTGATCGGTGTGATAACCTTTTATTTGACAAGAAGCCCTGCATGCTGCAGAAGTGCACTGTTGAATCTGGATCGCTACTTTTTCCTAACTCACTCTAAAATGCAAGCTTTGATTCAGATTTACAGAAGTGGACTTAATGTGCTCCCCTTCCCATGGCCGTCTTTACAGCTCTCTGACATAGCGAAACTGAAATCAGGACTCCCTCCTCAATGCCTTGAGCTGCAGTGCATATGGGAAGGGCATTGCCAAAAATTGGGTGGAGGGACATTCCATGGAAAGAGCCAGTCCTCTTGCTTATTCATTCACAAATTAACACCAGCTCTACTTCCCATATGCTAAACCCTCAGTCTCCTTATCAGCTTAGTCTCACCCATCACAAACACTGTACTAGCACTTAGAAAATTAATTTCTGAAGTATTTGGCAAGAGAAACTATAGTAATTGCTGCTGCTATCAAAGACCCATAGGATTTTCATATATAGTGAATTAGTGAATTAATTGCTTAAGACGGTAGTCCCATGGGCTTTGGGAGCTCAGCGCTGGAGTCCCCAAGGCCGAGACTTGCCTGCCTGACTCCCCCACCAGCCGACCATGCTGGCTGTCTCTCAGAGGATGTAGCTGGGCCTTGCAGAGGGCAAAACATGCACACCACCCAGTCTCCTACTTTTCCCCATCTCTGAGTCCAACTCTAAACAAATGAAAATGTGGCTTAGTTTGTCTAGACCAGACACACAGGGCAAGGCATGGGGGCGGTGGAGACTGCCACCACCTCCTGTTGCTCCCTGTGTTGGACGTGCTGGCGCCCCCAAGTTCAGAGGCTTACATGCATCTGCCTTGGCATGCACTGGATTGCACCCTAAATGTGGAAGCCACATTACTTTAACGATACCTTTATTTATGCAATGGTCCAGATTAATAATAATATTCTCAGCATACCTGAACTTTTCAGTTCAAGGATGGCGAATGTAGTATGATGTGATGCTTTTCTTAACTATTGGCTATTGGTCCAATTGCACAGAATGAATTGCACAGAATTGCTTAGGACATTCAAACCTTTGGTCAGGAGCTATTACATGATACTGGAAGTGTACTGATGGATAGTTACATTGCTGATGAATATTCAGGTATGCATGTTCCCAGCCAAATGTACATATAATGGAATACTATAGAGGAGATATATGATTGATCTACCATTTATTTTCTTTCTTTATTTTTCTCTCTTGTCTTTGTGACTCACCTTAAAATAAAGCACCAATCCAAAATTACAGACTGTACACTATATATGATCAGTGGTAGAGGTGTCAAAAGTAAGAAACTACTCTATGGGAGTTTCTCTCTCTATCCCCCATGTTTTGTGGGAGTCAGGCTCCCTAAAGTCCACCATCTCAGTAATCCTTGCTACAGCTCTGTAGGGTGGGTCACCATTGGGCTGATGGAGGGTGAACCTGTTGGAGGGTGAGTCTTGCTTAAGGCTCCCCTGCTGAGTTCACTGCAGGGCAAGCTTTCTGTGGAGGACACCTAGTTTACAGTTTGGCCACTTGGCTGCCACACTGCACTGTTCTTGTGGGCATCCTTCATCTTGTAACTTTTCCTGTAGAAAGAGAATGACTCGGTCCTTGATGCAGTTGCCTAAGTGAATATGCTGGGTACTGAGGTAAGTAAATCTGAAATGGTGGGTTGGAAAGGAGTGGCAGAATCTTGTAGCTTGATCAGCAGATGCACTGGAAATTAGCAGGCAAAATATATAGGTTGGAAAGGCAATTCTGACACCCTCCCCTCCCACACACTTGCTAAAATCTCACCCGACTGAAGCTAGTGTGGTATATGCTTGGTGGAATGCATCCTAAAATGTACTGTCTGCATTACAATTCTTGGAACAGTTAAGGGTGACTTGTGGAGCAAATTATAGACAGAATTTGTTTTTTGCTATTATCTGTGATAGGATACCAGCTCCTCCATCTCTCCACAGTAGGGAAACATTATAGAACACATACAGATTTAGATTTAACTCACGCAAAGTGATTTTATGGCCCACAGCAAAATTGCTTGAGCATGACTCATATTTTGGCTGGTGTGTGCTTTTGCAGGAGTCGCCTTTGCTCACAAATGACTGTAGAAACATCTTGCTGTATTGTTATCATAATTGCTAAACTGTCTAAAGTCATTACACTCAAATTTCTACCACAGAGCTGGCAGGGTGCTGGTTTTATTTATTTATTACTTGGGTATTTTGTGTATGACCATATATATATGAGTGATCTGACAGACATTAGAAATACCTGTGCTGAAAATGTCTGCTCTTGTCTATTGTCTGGCGTCTAGACAGGCAGCAGATATATTTCTTTGACATATCAAACTTGAAGCTATTTGGGGTATTTTATCCATCCAAATTGGTTTTTATCCTTCTCTTAGGGGGTTTGTTTCATATAGAAACAGCCCACAGTGAACCCAAACTAGAGAAAATAGGAAGGGAGAACTTAAGATCATGAACCAACTGGATGTCAAGTGATTTAGAACCAAGGGTACAAACTCACTAATGCTTTATATGTCCCTTTTGGATGAGCGGATGCCTGGATTGCACTTTTACACCAAGTGTGACCAAATGTCATCCACAATGAAATCTGGTCCATATTGAATTCATCATGGCGTATCTTCATGCCAAGGTTCCAGATCTGTGAGTTTGGTCTTGCATATTTTGAGATTCTACAACCCTCTTCCTGATTCCCTTGGTGGTGGATGGAACCTTTATAGAATGCTGAGTTTGGAATATAGAAATAAAAGGGTGAGGCTTCCTTCACTGGCAGCAAGTCAGCACAACACCAACATGTTATCCGTTCCTCTTACTCCACACTTCACTTGCCCACAGCGCTTCTTCAACCTGGTGGTCTTCAGATGTGTTGGCCTAAAGCTCACATCGCCCACAGCTGGTTTGGTTATTGTGCTCATTGGCTGGGGGTAACTGGGAGTTGTGGTTCAGCCAGCAATCCCATGAGAGTTGTTCACAGGACTGGTGGGATTGTTTGGTGTCATATTGTGAGGTTACTCAGCTCCCCTCGTGAGATGGCTGTACTTGCTTTCATAGGATTCAACAACAGCAGCAGCGGCAGCAACAGCAGAAATTAGTCTAAATTTTAAACTCAGGTCTGTCTATAAGTTTATAACATTTGGCTGTCACAAATACAAGAAAGATGAGCAAATTGCACAGGATAGCATTAATACTTTATTTTCTGTTAAAGTTGTGTTCATATAGCTGCATTAAAAAAACCCAACAATTTGATTTCAGCATCACCTCTGCAAATAACTGAACACATTTATTTTCTCAGTCAGGGGTCTACTCTCTCTGATGCTTGCATATCCTGCCCATTAGCCTGAATGTGAATTATACATGAATGTCCAAGTCAGGACAGACTTCAACAGTCCATATATATATATATGGTCATATATATATATATGTATATATACATATATATATATATATATATATATGTATGTGTGTGTGTGTGTGTGTGTGTGTGTGTATATATGTATATATACATATATGTGTGTGTATATATATGTATATATACATATATGTGTATATATATATGTGTGTGTGTATATATATGTATATATACATATACATATACATATACATATATATATATATATATATATATATATAAAACAGTCATATATATATATGACCACATACAGGCTGATGTGAAAGAGCAATTTTTTTATCAGCTATTGATTATTTTCAAGAAACAGAAATGAAGTATTCTAGTGTGCTAGATTTGAAAGTTATCTAAGAAAATTTAAATGCTTCCTTTTCTCCATCTGTAAATTAGTAAAGTTATTCAGAGGACTACATAAAATTGTATCAAAAATCTCAGTGTGTGTAATAAAAATATTTTTAACAAAGGCATCATATGTATTGATTATTAATAGCCAGGTTCAACAACAGTCAATCTACCAGGTACATTTAAAAGAAAGGCGGAGCAAGCTTAATTTGCCTGCAAATGCTTTAATGAAGCCACCCAGATGTTATTTTTATTGTATAGCAACCATGGACATAATTTCCTGGGAACTAGTGTAGCTTCCACTGAAATTAATGGGAGGAGGCCAAGCTGTTGAGTGCTACACAATTTGCATGCATTTAACTGAAGCTTGTGTAGAAGCAATTCTCAGTAAATTGTGTCCATAACCTGATTAGAGAAGGGTTTTTAAACAAATAAAATGTTTCCTCT